GAACAAATGGAATTTTACACATGCAAAAGCAATTTTTCTTATCTAGATACCTTACATCTTTCAAAGAAATTCATTCAAAATGGATCAGGATCTAAATGTAAAACATACAGTTATAAAAGTTCTACACAGTAACACAGGAGATAATTTAGGTAACTTTAAATAATTAAGTAATCATTTTTAGGCACAACACCAAAGCACAATCCATAAAATAAAAAATTCCTAAATTAGACTTCATTGTAATAAAAACTACCACTCCACAAAAGATTCTTTTTCATTAAAAAGAATGAAAAGACAAACCATAGACCAGGAGAAAATATTTATAAGACGTATATCTGATAAAGGGCATGAATCCAAATTACACAAAGAATTCCTAAAACTCAATAGTAAGTAAACAACCAATTAAAAAATGGGCAATTTTACACAATAGACACCTCACCAAAGATGATCTACAGATATGAATTAAGCAAACAAAAAGATGTGCAATATAATATGTCACCAGAGACTGGCAAATTAAACAGTGAGCTATCAGTGTGTGCCTATTAGGATGCCTAAAATCCAAGAATCTGAGGGAGAACAGAGGGCGTGCTCATTCATTGCTGGTGTAAATGCAAAATGACAAAGCCACTTGGAGAACAATCTGGCAGCTTCTTACAAAGGTAAACATTGTCTTAACCACAGGGTGCAGTACTGTGAATAAGCACTAGGTACTTATTCAAATGGATGGCTTCAAAAGTTACAGTCTCTCAAAAACCTGCCCAAAATGTTTATAGCTTTATTTATCATTTCCAAGAACTGGAAGCCACCTAAATGCCCTTCAATTGGTGAATGTATAGGGAGAGAGAAGAAAAAAAAAAACAAAAACCTGGCATAACTCTGAAATATTATACAGGATAAAAAGGAATGAGCTATCAAGTCACAAAAGACATGGAGATACCTTGAATGCCTAGTGCTGAGTGAAAGAAGATATCGTCTGAAAAGGATACATACCCCAGTGCTGTAACAGTCTGGAAAAGGCCAAACTATAGAGGGGGTGCCAGTCTGCAGGGCATCGGGGAGGAATGAACAGGCAGAGCAGTAACAAGACAGCAATGGTCCGTGTATGCCATTCTGTAACTGTCCAAACGCCAGAACTATACAACAGAGAGGTGAATCCTAGTCTACACCATGGGCTTTAATAATGATGTAGAAGCATCAGTTCATCAGGTGTGACAAACGCACCACATCAACGCAACATGTTATTCTGGGAATACTGCAGTGAAGGAGGGAGAGAAAAGATAAAGGAACATCTGAGCTACCTGCTCAATTTTCTGTACCATGAAACTTCTCTAAAAACCAAAGTCTATTAAATTTTTAAAAAGTAACACTTATCTTTACTCATAGCAGGAGTATAAAGGACCAGGCAAGAAAATAATAATAATAATGAACAACTACATACCAGAGACATTTTATGGGATGGAGTGGGGAATGGGATCAAAAACGGTGGGGGAGGGAAGTGCACTGGACTATGGTGATGGCATATGGTGATTTGGTGATGGGAAGCCCATGGGGATTACAACGCAGATGGGAAAAGGCACAAATTGATGTAAAAATAAACTATTGTATTATTTTTTAAATTTTTTCAAAAAAAAAGTAACACTTATCCGTGGAAGCTAAAGTAGAAATAAGATAATATTTTTGTATAAAGAGTCATCCATAATCTCAGTATTTTAACACTTAGGCATAGATCCTTCCGGTCTTTTTTCAAACGTCTGTGTGTACAATTTTTTAAAAGAGTTGGAGTCAGTCTGCTAAATCCATTCTGAAGGTTTATAGTCTAGTTTTAGCTTGGATTTTTAACCACAAAGAAAGTAGCCTATATAAAACATCAGTGATACCAAAAACAGATTCTAGAGGGACTAGTTGCTATGGGAATGATTGAAAATAAATTTCACTTCACACTACACCCTGCTAATGTACTGACCAGAAGGAAAAAGAAATATTTGGAGTAACTTAGAAGAGCAGCCAAGAAAACTTCTAATCAAAAAGAAGGAAAATACATCAACCTAGTGAAGTTTCAAAGAGGCCAGTAGCATCACCCTGCAATTAATGAATTATGCTGTTTCAGCATAATATATGGGTGGAGGGGGAACCCCCAGGAACTGGAGATTAGAATGGAAAAAATCTCTCCACTCCACTGACATTTTGATGGCCAAATAGACAGTAAGTCTCTCTCTATTAGGGCTGTATCTGTAGGGTGGTAGAAGTCCAGGGGGAAAAAAAATAACCCCTCCCCTCCAGTGGAGATGCACCAACTATTTTGCAAGCTACAAGGTCCAGGCTCTGAGTGATCATGCATTTATGCACTGGCCTCAGTGGTGGAGTGGGCTCAAGGGCCCCTTCTATACGAGGGTTTCTGCTTTAGAGGATGCTGGGCCGTGAGCCAATCTGGAGGTTCTAGTGTAGGGGAGACAGTAGGGAGGATTGACTAGAAGAATTTTAATATGTGAAGAAATGATGTGTACCAACTGATCTCCGACTTCCCCCACAAACCAACATTTTTATGAAAGACAAGCGTGTTGGAACACACACGCTTGAAGGGGGAAAACAGCTCACACCACAAAAATACAGGTCACGCTTCCCACCCCAGGGAACAGATCAATTTAGAGTCAAACGGATTTAGTTGTATTCCCAGCTCTGCCCTGCATGCCCATGAATTATAGAATCTCCGAGCCCCCAATTTCCTCATCTGAAAAATGCATATAATTATTTATCCTTCATGCAGTTATGATAACTATTACATGCGATAAGCCATGTGAATGAAGTGCTGTGATATTGCAATTTATAGTAAGAAATATATATTTGGTCTTCATTCAATTTCTGGCACAGAAACTTCTAAAACCACTGAAATTTCCTAAGAATGAATGTGGAAAAAAGATGTCTCTTGCTATGTAAATGAGGTGACTTCTGGACCCTAAAGATGAAGCCTGGTTCCCTGGAAAACCAACCATGTGATTAGAGGGTGCCACCCCAGACCTCTGGGAAGGGAGAAGGGTAGAGGCGAATCAATTACCTGCGACCTGTGATGTAACGTAACTAGGCCATATAAAGAAGCTCCCTAAAAGCCCTAAGGATGGGACTACAAGAGCTTCTGGGCTGGCAAACACATGCAGACATGGGGACAGACACACCCCTGGGGCATGCACGGATTTCCACACCCTTTCCCCACACCTCGTGCTATGCCCCTCTTCCATCTGCTGTTCATAAGTTATAATAAACCAGTAATCTAATGCATAAATGTTTCTCTTAGCTCTGTGAGCCACTCTGGCAAATTAACTGGACCCGAGAAGAGAGTCGTTCGGCTTTCCAACCTATAGTTGGTAGGTCAGAAGCACAACTGATAACCTGAGCTTTAAAGTGGCATCAAAAGGAGCTGGGGAACAACTGAGATGAAAAAATGCACAAAATGATGTAAAAATAAACTATTATATATATATATTTTTTAAGTGGGGGCTGGGGAAAGCCTGTGGGCATAAGCCCTTCACCTGTGTGAGCTGCTGCTGTCTCCAGGCAGACAGAGTCAGAATTGAGCTGAATTGTAGGACAAGTATCTGTTGTGTGCGGTAGCCCTCCACACTCACACACACAGGAGTCGGTTCCAACACCCTTTTCGGTGCCAGGCAAAATATCTGGTACATAGCAAGTGCCCTGTCAAATGCAGCTACCACATGTCACCATCACCCCAAGAGGCCAAGAGGTGACTGTGCCACAGACCTTCTTTGCTTCTTCCTCTTCTAACATAGCCAGGGGCCCCATCTCCTTTTCCTGCCCATTTGCCAGTGTAGATGCCTCGTCACCATGGCCATGTAAAGACAAAGTCCCTGAAGTATGAATTAGCCAGCAGTTACCAATTTTGTACATATCTTTTTTTTTTTAAATAATATAATAGTTTATTTTTACATCATTTTGTACTTTTTTTTTCATCTCAATAGTAATCCCTGTGGGACCAATTTTGTACATATCTTAAGGACAGCTCTGTACTCCAGAGAGAAACAGACTTTTGATGCCAAACCAAATCTCAAAGCCACAAACTTATGGGTACTCCAGATAATCGCCTATCAAAGCATAAAGACCTAGGTTTAGAGTTGCTAAGTATCCTCAAGGCAGAAGAAAACCCAGGGTTAGATTAAACAGTTATTCATTGATTACCAATACATGGCACCATCTCCAAATGGTGCAAAATTGTATTTGCTGTTTCTTTAAGCTTAGTTAATGGATTCAGATTTTTACTTTGTAAAAAAAAAAAAAAGTTAATGCAGAAAGCTACAAATAATCAAACCTATATCTATTCCCATTTCCCAGAAGGAACAACTATTAACATTTGTTATATTTATAACAAGTTCTTTATTTTTAAAAATGAGATAATACGTAAAAGAAAAAGTGAAAATCTATTTTCCCCCATCCCAGATCTACTTTCTCCCTACTCCCCAATCACAGTTATGAATTGGATCTTTACCCATCCAGTTATATTTTATTATTTGTTTGATCTAATTTTAAAAAATGTAAATCAAAAGAGACCCAGAAATGTACTCAGTGAGGGCCCTCCCTGGTGGCACAATGGGTTAAAGCACAGCACTATGAAACTAGCTGCAGCCACCGCAGCACAAGCTCCATCCCGGCCCCGGAGGTGACCCACATGGCACAGCTGACCTCTCTTGTCTCACCCGCTGCTCCTCAGCAGTGTACATAAACAAATAAATCTTCTATGTGCATAAATAAATAAGTCTTTTTTTTAAATGTTTTTAAAAAATAAAAAAAAGAAGTGTACTCAGTGAAAACATCTATGGGGAGAGGGACTTATGAGCCCCTGATGCTGTACCAGGACACACCCACTCCCCTGCTCCAGGAACAGCCCACACTAAAAGGAGAAGCCAGTGAGAGGGAGACTTGCCAGCTCACACCAACAAACATCTAGAAAGCAGTACAACTATGAAAGACAGTCTACTGAAGTCCAAAAGGCTCACCTGGGTCCAGGTGTGAGAAAGAGCCCACCACGAAGTCCAGCGTAGACACAGCCAGCAGGAACAGCAGCAGCAGCTGGAGGCGGATTATCCACTTGACACCTGCTAGATTAATCCCCAGCAAGGCCAGAAGCACTGCAGCTGAAATTGCTCGCACGGCCCAGATATTCCTGAGGTTCAGCAAATCCGAGATGGACTCAGCAAAGCCAGTGATGTACATGGCACCTGCAACACACTGAGAGGCATGTCTAGGTAGGAAAACTGCGAGACAGAAGCGCCCGGAATCCTGCCTTGAGCCCTGTTTTTTTCTCAGCTACACCTCTATCACCCAGAAGGCAGAGTGAATGCCAAACCCAAGCCTAGAGCTGGCTGACTGTCTGTGGTAAGATGAACACACTATGAGAGAGAGATGGGACTCAGGGCCCAAGAAAGCTCTGAACTTCACTGAGTTATTCAAGAACTAAATAAAGAACAGAAACACACGGGGCAGTAATGTGGGGGTGCATCTCAGTGCTTTAGAAGGGCATTGTAGCAAGCCTCAGGGGTGTATTTTTTGTAGATTAGTATTATAAAAAAGAAAAAAATTATCTAAAATTTGGAAATAAAGGGAAAAGTGGGCGGCACATCCTGTCCATCTCATACAGATCAAAGGCTTCCCTGGTAAGAGGTGGGGGTTATTTATGAACCATGGGAAAAGTATCATAGAGGTTTCTTGTTTAGGAGGTGAAGGAGACAGTCATGTTTCTTGGTTGGTAAGTATCAAAAAGAATAATTAGGGCTTCTAAGGATGTGTTACATCTACTAACAGAACTAAAAGCACAGAACTTCAAAACCAACCAGGTGAAAAATACAACAGAAATCTATTTGAGAGCCCCCCTGATGGTGCAAGGGGTTATCTTCAGGGAAGGCTGCACAAGCCAGATCCCCAGCAGGGAGCTGACCCCAGGGACAGGGCAGGCCCTTCCGGTCTCAACCTCCTGCTCCCTGCAGCAGTGCACTTCAGTCAATCTGCCTGTTCTATTCTCCACTCTCTCTGGTGAATCCTCTCATCACCCTATCCCACACCTCTGGCCTGTACCCCAGTTCTTTTGTCCATAAATAAATAAATCATTTAAAAGAAAAAAAATACATCTGAAACATGTTGGCAATAAATGAGAAATTTTTTAAATTCTAATTATCTATAAAGTTATGAAAAGAAGATGCTTTATTCTAGAACCTAAACTCAGAAGGGAGGAGAATATGTTAACTGTTTTACTAGTTTTAAAGGAAAGAAAAACTAATGAACAAAGTATTTAACTTAAGTGATTTTAAAAGATCGATATAGGGCCTCCCTGGTGGCAAAACAAGGCACTATGAGGCTATCAGCAGGCACTGCAACATAAGTTCAATCCTCGGCCAGGCAGCTGACACATATGGTGCAGCAGACCTCGCCTGTCTGGCCTGCTGCCCTCCTCAGCACTGTATGTCAGTGCATCTGCTTGTTCTGCTCCCCACTCCGTGTCTGGTGAATCCTCTAACTGCCCCCCACACACACCTCTAGCCTACACCCCAGTTCTGTATGCATAAATAAATTAAATCTTTAAATAAAAAAAAATAAAAGGTCAATATAAATAAAAAGACCGTAGGAAGCAATATTTAACAAATCAAAGAAAGCAAATAACAAAAGATCAATTACAAAAGGATACTGAGGAAAGCTGGTCCTTTTAGAGATCAGTCATACATCACCATGAGTGCGTGGTTAAAAAGAAAAAATATAAAAATATAGGCTATCAGGAATGAAGAAGGGAATGAAACTACTCTTACAGAAGACAGTAAAAGAGTGAGTAGAGAATATAAAGGTGTCATAAATTATAAGTACACATTCATATTATTCAATACTAAGAAACTACTTAAAAGCATGGTTTTAAACTGACCTAATGAAATGTCTGTGACATATAACAGGAAATGAGATACACAAGCCATAGAAGTGAGCATACAATTTGTCCCCATTTTTGCAAAAACCAAGCAAACCCATCAAAGTCCCAAATGGATGAGCACAGGACGACGTGCTGGAAGACGACATGAGGTGTTCACATCAGCCACCTCAGGAGTGAAGGCAGTTAACTAGGTCATCATTTTAAAATGACTATCATTTTGGGGTGACAAGGAATCTCATTTTGCAATTTAAAAAATTAATAAAGGAAAAATAAACTATTAAGAGAACTATTCTATTTATGCAAAAACTGCATTTGTGCAGATAATCCAGAGCCTCTAGGATTCAAAGCCTCTCCCCTTATACCGAGCTCACTGCTGGTAGACACTGAACTGACCTGCAGAAGGTGTAGACAGCAGCAGCGCAAGCCCTGCCCCAAGGGGCAGCTTCCCCCCAACCATGACTGCTACCCTTTAATGGAGGCCATCCCTGTTGATTGCTTAATGTATAAACACCCAGATTTATGATATTTTTGAAGCAAGTTTTTAATCATAGCATTCCTCTTTCTGTTGCTGCTCTGAAGAAAAAAATCCTAACCCCCTTGCCACAGGAAGGAGGGGATGTCACCCACAAATTTAAGAGAGAAAGAGACCCATTTTCAACCTATAACACTTCCATTCCAAGGTATTTGTTTTAGAAAAATCATACTTCCACAATCAGAGGCTTATTCTTTTTTGTTTATCTTGGGTACCTGCCGAGAAGACCAGACCCTTCCATATTCCTCCTCTTTGACATGAAATACTGGCTTAAGGTTTGAGTGGACTGTGTGTTCCACATAAGTGTTAAATCCCACAGTGAAAATTCCAGGCCAATATTAGTTCTGTGGAAGCTTCCCAGTCCCCCAGCACAGAGCGTGGACAACATTAATAAGTGCTTCTGGACATGACAGTGCAGGCTGCACCTGATTTTGGTGTCGGGGGAAGCAGTCCCACAGGAGGCCTTAGGCCCACAGAGGTCCCTGGAGCAGGGAGGGAGGAGGACACCCAGTAACTCGTCTCTTCCACTGGCCTAAGGACCTGGACCAACAGAGCAGGTCTACCAGACCTTGGAGAGATGAGGGGGAAGGGCCAGGGGACATGCAGGCCAATGAAAGTATTTTGCACGTTTTAAAAATCATTATTTTGAGCACTGTAGGTTCTAAATGTTGATGCACTATGGCAAACTCTGGCCAGACAAGCAAATCCTGCCCACTTCCTATTTTGGGAATAGTTCTATTAGAACACAACAATGTCCATTTCTTCAGAGTGCCTAAGGTTGCTCTCCTACTACAAGAGGGCAGTTGAGGAGTTGTGACAGAGCTGTATGACTTGCAAATTGAAAATATGTATTATCTGTCCTTTACAGAAGTTTGCTGACCAGTGCCCTAGAGCAAAGCAGGTGATCTGTTTGCAGTTATTAAAAATAAGTTACTGCATGCATGCTATGAAAAGACAGGGTGAGAGGATAATAAGAACCAGGAGTAGGGACCCTCAGAAATCCTAAATCACACCCTGGATGAAGAAAGACCTCAAATCAATGACCTAACCTTCTACCTTAAGAAACTAGGAGGCAAGCAGAAGGAAGTAAATAACAAACACAGTAACAAAAACAAATGAAAGAGATTAAAAAACAATAGAGAAAATCAACAGAGACAAAAATTAGTTCTTTGCAGATGAACCCTTATCTAGATTGATCAAGAAAAAAAGGTGCATGTTATTAAAATCAAGAATTTAAGGGAGGACCTAATCAATCTTACGAAAACAAAAAGGATTATAAGGGAATCTATAAATGATTACACACCAATAAGTTAGCTAACAGATACAATGGACAAAATTCTAGAAAGACACATTCTACAAAACTGACTCAAAAAGAAAAAGAAAAATGGAATATGCCTATGTGAGTAAAAAGGTTAAATTAGTAATCAAAAAACTCCCTGTGAAGAAAAGTCTTGGACCAGATGGTTTCACTGCTAAATTCTACCAAATGGTTAAAGAATTAACACCAATCCTTCACAAACTCTTCCCAAAAATAGGAGAAATCTCCCTATGCCAGCATTATCTTGATACCAAAACTAGACAAAACACCACAAGAAAACTACAGCCCAATATCCACTGTGAATGTATATACAAAAAAATCTTCATCAAAATATCAGCAAACTGAATCCAGCAGATATGAAGATTATGAAGCAGCCACACCCTGATCAGAAAAACCCCCAGGCCAGGTCAGCAGCAGACCAAGCAGGGAAAGTCAAAGATTGCCCAGGAGGGCACCAAAGTCTCCAGTGGAGGCTGGTGGAGAAGGAGGTACCTGGGGCAGAGTCATCAATGAGTCATGGAAAAGCCCACTCAACATCCAGCTTTCTCCCTGGGGAGGGCCTTCCTGCAGGTTCCATGCTGGGCCCCTGTCTGTGGAATCTGCCTCCAGAGGTGAGCTACTGTCTACCGAGGGAGTGGGAAAGGGGAAGACTGCTATTTGCCCACGATGCCATCGGCTTGACTAAAATAGCAGAGAAGTAGAAAATCAATACACCAGCCCCCACAGTAATAAAGTAAACTGAGAGTTGATTACTCACCTCCCAAACTACTCTGCTAAAGACCTCTCTCTGCTGAAGACAAGTGGTTTCTAAGAGAGCAGGGACAAGCTGTCTGCCTTACACACACCTACCCCGCTCACGTGCACACACACACAGGCTGTTGAGTGCTGTTGGACAATCAGCTATATTTAAAAACCCTGGCCCTGCTACTTAAATACAAAAGAAACAAAAACAATGCTTTCGCCAAGGCTCTTGTACTCTTACTCAGACAAATTCTTTTATTTCCCATTTTCTTAACCACCCACCAACCTTTGTAAGGTCAAAAAAGCCTTTTTCAATCTCAGAAGTGCTCACAAAGAGCTGCTTCTCCACGTGTGCTCTTGTCTGCTCAGCGCCTGGCCATCATCCCTGTGTTTCAGCTAAGTCAGCCTGGTGTTTCTTCCCCCTCACGGGTTTTCTGAGAGCCTCCGTCTCCTGATGAAGCAGCGTCCTGATTCGTTTTCTTCTCAGGTGGGTGGGTGTTCACAAGGGACTCTCAGCCTCTCTCTCAAGGCCAGTCGAGTCACTGCTGCTGCGGAAGTGCCAGCTCATTTGAGAAGCAGGTGCTCCGAGGAACGTCCGTTGGTCCAGGCAAAATGCCCCCTCTTATACACAGAAGTGGCCCAGAGACCAGCCTACCCTGATGCCACCTCGGCTCCGGCCACTGTCTGCCCTAAGAGGTCAGCGGGAATGGTTCCAGCCCCAGCCCTGTCTCCCTGGTCCACCCAGGACTCCCAGAGACACAAGTGGTGGGGGAAGCAGCACTGGGCCTTACTTAGTCCATGGCCCCGGACTGCCGCTGGCCTTGCCTCTGAGTCCCCTCTCAGAGCCCCAGCCTGACCTCTCACTAGGTCAGGGAATGTGAACGAAAAGATGGTGTCAACACCAAGGCAAGGGAAGACTGTTAGGATCCGAGAACTAGATTACCGTGAAAGACAGAGCGTCACGCAAGAATGCAATTCGCAAAGTAGAATTTATTGGGCTGGCTAGCCAGGGTCAAGCCATTCCCTGCTGGACACGCAGGATTCAGGCAAGATCCCAGCCAAAGGAAAGTCAGGGAATATATTGGCCTTGTTGGCCATTACATACGTCAGAGCCCGCGCAGAT